CTCTCTATCTGGGTTCTCTGTCTCTGTCTGCCTCGGTGTCTCTGTCTGTCTCTCCTTTTGTCTCTCTGTCTCTCTCTGTCTCTCACTCTCTGTCTCTCTGTCTGTCTCTGTCTCTCTGTCTCTGTCTCTGACTCTGTCTCTCTGTCTCTGTCTCTCTCTGTCTCTGTCTCTCTGTCTCTCTGTTTCTGTCTCTCTCTCTCTTCCCTTCTTCCTTCGGCCACCCCCAGGTACTTACCTGTCCAAGAGGACTGCTGGTCCCAGACAGACCACATCTGGACCACGAAGAAGGGCGCCCAACACACGATGTAGGCTGTCACGATCACGAAAGTCATCTTCACCGTGCGTATCTTGGCCCGAGAAATGGATTTGATACTGCTGACACAGGAGGCCGACAAAAGGCCCTTGCGCAAGGCGCCGACAGCCGCTTCCTCCTCCTCCTTGCTCTTCACCGTGGACGTCTTGCCGCGGATATTCCGCCAGATGTGATAGCAGATGAAGCCGTAGCAGGTGCCCAGGATGATGACCGGGGCCACGAAGATGCCCCCGGTCATCCAGGTCACGTAGGCGCGGAGCCCCCAGGGCTGGATGAAGTTGGCCCAGCAGTCGCGGGCCTTGGTGACGTTGTTGACCTCGATCATGGAGAAGATGAAGTACTGGGGCGTGCTGAGCACGAAGCTCAGCGCCCAGGCGGCGGTGATCATGACCCGGGAGCGCCGGGCAGGTTGCTGCAGAGTCTTCAGAGGGTGGCACACCGCGATGTAGCGGTCGGCGGTCATCACCACCAGCATGTACGCCGAGGCGAACATGGCGAAGACCTGCAGATGCTTGACGACGCGGCACAGGCCGTCGGGGCCGCGGAAGCGGTAGGTGATGTCCCAGCACAGCTGGGGCAACACCTGGAAGAAGGCGACGGCCAGGTCGGCGAGGCTGAGGTGGCGGATGAAGAGGTGCATCCGAGACGTCTTGCGCTGGGTGCGGTGCAGGGCCAGAAGTACGCTGCTGTTGCCCAGCACAGCCACCACGAAAGTGGCAGCCAGCACGGTGATCTCCAGCTTGGCCAGCTCCTCGTTGCGACTGTCACCCCCCGAGACATACAGGCTAGCGTTGGGGGCCTCCGTGGGGCTGCTGGCCGAAGGCCACCAAGGACTGGAGTTACCGGTGGCAGCTGTCCAGGCGGGCAAAGCCCCACCAGGGAAACGCGTGCTGCCCATTGGGCCCCCACCTCACCCTGCCCTCTTCACTTAACGTCTACCTTCCTTCTCGAGTCCCTTGCTGCCTCAGTACACTTTGTCTTTTTTTTCTTCCCTTCAGCAGTCCCTCCTTTCGTTCGTTCTTTTGACCCTACCTTCCTTCTGTCCTCGGTACCCTTCCCTATCTCTCTGTCTCCGTCTGACTGTCCTTCCAGGACTCAATGTTTGTCCCGGGGCTGCTTTTTTTCTAGCCCTGCTTCTCTCTTCCCCTCCCTTTCCTTTTTCCTAACGCTCGCAAAGGTTTGTAGGTGAGGAGTCTGCAAGGACCGCGAGCGGGTCACAATTATTTATGCTGGATTTGTTTTCCCCGGAAAGGCGCTCCCGTCTCAGTGGCTGCTTATCGCCTGGTGCCAACCCCCCCTTTTTTTTCCACGTCGGTGATTTGTTCTTTTTGCATCATTGCTGCAAGGGTGGAGCTGGGGCTCCCGCTAGTCCCTCAGCAGAACATCTGGAGACAGCAGGAACTGTTAAGCGTTCCGGCTCTTCTCCTCAATGGGCAGGGCATCTCAATTCTCCTTTACCCCTGTGCTCACCCTGGCCGCTACTAGCCCACCACCTCCCTATTTTAGTTCGTCAGTCTTTGGGAATAAAAACATCAATTTCCAGTTGCACCAGCGGGAAATTATGCAAGTCCCTTCTATCGCGCGCGCACACTCCACTTCAGAGCACACAGCTCATTCATCAATCTTTTCTTCTCCCCCCCACCCCCCCACCCCCGCCCTGCTCCTTTTCCACCACACTGCAACAATTCATAAAATATTCTTCCTCCTCTTTCCAACAAAGGGACAAATCTTGGTCTTATCAGTGAGATCTGTTTACAATTGCGCAATTTCATACCCAATACAACTTCCTAATACATAATCTGGTATGGATACGAATTCAACACTTCCTTCTCCCCTGCCTCATGCTCATCCCGCTTCTGTTCTGCAGCCGAGACGGAAGAGGGATTTTCATTGCTTCCACTTCTACCTGTCCATACAAAACTGCTTTGTTCTCTAAAAGGAGAGCGTCCTCTTTTCCAGTGCAGGGTCCAGACTTCTCTCTAATCTCCTTCCTATCTGAGAGGGAAGTTGGAAGCTCAAACTGAACTCTGGAACCAAAAGCGCGGCTGAGGATAGCTCAGGAACGGACGCTTAACTAGCATCCGGTAGGGTCTAGAGCCTTAGCTCCTTTGGTCCCGAGGACAACTTTTATTTAGCTGAAGAAGAAAAGCAAAAATAAACTGTTAAATCAGTGACTTTCAAGGGCGCAGGAAGAAGGCATGACTGGTTTCAGGACTCACAGGAGTCAGCATTTGCTTGTAAAAAAGAGGCTTAATCTAGTCTTAGGAAAAGGGAAGAAGAGGAGGAGGGAAGTTGGAGAAGTGAGAAAGGAGACCCCAATCGACTCCTAGAGAAGCAGATGTACGGGACTCTCCCCTTAAACTCTGCTTAATCTTCCTAAAGCCTACTGAGAAATCTCCACCAGGGGCTCTAAAGCAGAACTTTTTCCAGATGCATTTCATGAAAATTCTGCATAAAGGTGCATATATACACGCACATCCATATTTCTTTGTCTTTGGTGACTACCCTGATGTAGGATATGTGTCTACACACACGCAGGATGTCATCCTGTTTCCTCAGAAAATTCTGCCTCCTCTAGACTTGGAATCAGAATCACTGAATTCAAATGCATCCCCTACCCCTTGCCATTTGTGTGACTTTGAGCTAGTCACTTTAATCTTGCTGACCCTCAGTTTCCTTATCGGTAAAATGGCAGTGGAGGACTAAATGTCCTTTAAGTTCCCTTCTCACTCTAGAGCCATGATTCATGCCTATAATGATAATAAACAGAGACTCGTTTCTAAGGAATTTGCATGTTTCCTGATACTTTTTCATCCTGTAGTGAAAAAGAATTTAGGCCCAAGAATCTGAAGACTGAATCACGGTCCTGGCTCTCCCAGCTCGGGGATCCTGAATTTGACTTCTTAAAGCTTCAGCTTTCTTAACTGTAAAATAGGCAAGATAATACATACCTTGACTACTCCTTTCATAGGACTGTGGTTCCCATTCAAAGGAAAATGTATTCCCTGATGTAGTGGAAAGCACACTGAAAGTTCAGACAAGTGATCTGTTTTTTATGCCCTTCCTGAGCCTAAATTCTTCATCTATAAAATCGACTGAGATAAAGATTTGGAGCTGAAAGAAACCCTAGAGGTCATTTAGTTCAATCCTGGAATTTTACAGGTAAGCAAAATGGAGCAGAGGGTTCAGGGATGGGGTCTCAAGGCCCACCCCTGGTTTAAGGGATTTAGCCAAGGTTATACAGGTAATGGGTAGCAGAGCTGGGTTTTGAACCTTGTTCCTTTGACTCTAGACCTCATGTTCTTTCCATTGCACCAGACAGTTTCAAAGAAACCTGGAAAACTTGAACTTAAGTGGATATTAGGTTTGCACTCCAGCTTAGCTAGTGCAAATGTTATCACAGCTTAACATTGATAGAGCTGGATTCCTGCATATGTACAAGGCAGATTAACTCTGCTGCATCACATTGTACCATTTCCTAGTGATACCTGTAAAGTCCAATTTACCTTATATACACATATATATAATGTCTTCTTAATATCTAATTACCTCTTTAATATAATAACAATAGCTCTAGTTCATAATGCTTATTAACCATATGCTGCTCATTTGCATACAATTACCTGAGGCCATGTGATGCATTATTGCTCTTTTAAAATATTTTCTCCTGAAAATTGCTGATCTCTTCTACCAACATTTTTCTTTTTATGGCACATGTACCACCTCCTGAGTTTATGCATATGATCTATTTCCTCTCCAATGTTTTGTGTTCAAAAAGCTGTCTTTTAAAGTTGTGAATGTATTCCTTAGGAGACAGCAATTAATTATTGCCTTGGATGCATAACATGTATTTATTTACTCAGAGGGCAGTGGCCATATAGTTGATGTGCTTTATGTGAAACTATTTTCATGGTTTGATGCAAATCCATCTAAGAAGTTTTAATTATTGAAGCAGCTGAAGGCCCTCATAGATCACAAGGCATTTTCCCTCTTGACAACATCTACCAAGTCTTCAGTGTTCAGAAAAATCTGGGGATCATAGGTTTAGAATTAAAAGGGTCCTTAAAGGTTATCTTGTCCAACTCTCCCACTTTACAGATCTTGAATTTCTTTATCAAATTGCATGTAGTTGAAATACTAGAATCTCATATTTTGTCTAGAAAAATCACCTTCCAATGATTTCCTCTAGTGAGAAGCCCCTCTAAATGTAACCAATCTGTTGTAATAGAAAGGGTGTTGGACTGGAGTTCCAATCCTGGCTTTGTCACTAGCACTGTGACCTCAGGCAAAATCATGTAAATTCTATGAGTCTCAGTTTCCTAACCTGTAAAAATGGGGATAATACTTGTAGTAGCTACCTCTCAGTGTTATTATGAGGAAAGTATGTGTATACGTCCACCCTCTGTGGAATGTGATGATCATTAAGACATTCCTGTATTCATTTATCCATCAGATTGACGTTACTGATTATACCTTTGAGTGATTTATCTCCTAGCTTTTTCCCGACAAGAATAGAAAAAGTCCAGGGTGTTTAAAAGCACATTGATGCTTCAGAAGCTGGGATATTATAATTTATGTTATACTTGTGTGTGTATTTTTATTGAATTGAAAACAGCTTATATGATATTCAAAGAGAATATCAGTAGTGGTTATTTCAAGAAGGCTTTCCATGCCATTTCTGGAACTTGACTTCATTCTTGAAGGAGGTGAATCCTATGAGTTCAATAATCATCTCTGTGCAGGTAACTTCCAGATCTATATATCCAGACCTAGTATCTTTCCTGAGCTTCATTTTCATATTACCAACTGCCTATCAAAAATGTGGAGCTGATAGTTCCTTGTGCATCTCAAACTTAGCAAGTTGAAAACAGAATTCATTATTTTTTTCCCCAAATTCCACCCTCTTCTAAATTAATCTATTTATTTTGATGGTGCCACCATTCTCCCAGTCACCCTTTTTCCCAATCTCAGTCATCCTTGACTCCTCAATCTACTTAATTTCATTTATTTAATTAGTCACAAGTTTCAACAGGTATCTCTCTACAAGATCTTTTGCATCTAGCTACTTCTCTCCATTCACACGACCAACTCTCTAGCTAAGACCTTCATCACCAATCAATTAGATTTGTGCAATACCCTCCTAATTGGCATTTTTTGCCTCAAGTCTCTCCCTTTTCCATACCATACACAAAGATGCTAGACTGATATTCCTGAAGCCCAGTTCTGACCATGTTTCTTCCTGCTTAATGAACCTTAGTCTTCTCTAGTATCAAATACAAACATCTCCACCTGACATTTAAAGCCCTTCATAATATAGCTCCAGCCTACCTTTCTAGGCTTGTAATCTTGCCTTCATACCCCCTAAAGCCCAGCCAAACTGATCTTGCTGTCAAATATGACATTCTATCACCTGTCCCTGTTTCTGCATAGCTGTCTGTCTCTCATACCTGGAATGCACTTTTTCCTTACCCCCACGTCTTAAAATCCTTAGTTCCTTTCAATGCTTAGCTAAAATGCCATGCCCACATGAGAGATTTCTCTATACTCCAGTTGCGAATATCCCTCTCCAATTTATCTTACATTTATTTTTATAATTATTTTCTATCCATTTTTGTGCAGATATGTTGCATGCCTCTATAAGATATGAGTTTCTTTAGGGCAAAGACTATTTGTTTTGCATCCCCCATGCTTAATGTAGTGTCTATTATATAGTAAATATTTAATAGTGTCCCTGCTTTCAAAGAACTCATGTTTTAATGGAGGAGAAAATAAGCAAACAACCATGTATATGCAATACACACACATTATAGATGTGAGGTAATTTCAGAGGGAAGGCACTTGCTTTGGTGGAAGGAGAAGAGGGAAGGCCTCTTGAAGAAAGCAGGATTTGTTCTGAGT